TTTTTTAACTGGAAATTAATTTTTTCCAGCAAAAATATATTAATATTACAAATATGCACGATGGTTACAGATTGGAAATAAAGAACTTTTCGTAAGGCAAGTATAGAAAAATACACATGAAAAAAATGATATTTTTCAATTAATATCCAAATAAATATCAGCGTAATATTTTTTTAGTCGTAATGTAAATAATGAAAATTGGAAAGTTGCGATAAATTATTATTTTTCTTGACGTTAAAGAAAAATTGTCGATTTCGTTCTCTATAAAAAAAGAAGAGATTTTTTATTAATTCATAGCATGCCATGAATAAAATTATAATATATAATAAAATTATAATATATAATAAATAATATATGTATAATAAAATTATAATTATGCATATATTATAATTTTATTATTGTTCCTTTTTATCATTTTAAAGAAGAATTCTTAAAGTTAAAGAGAGTGCTATAATGTGCGTGCAAAAAATATAAAGATAAATCTTTATTCAATAATTTGTTATAAATCAATTTTCTATCTGTGTATATGTACAGCAAGAAAATTGACATATTTCTCCGGACATACATATTTGTTTTATGTTTCTCGATGTTCAGTTTCTGCAGTAGAGACGGAATAAGATTTCAAAAATTGCATTATACAAGCCAGTCCAATACGAACTCATCCATGAAATAAAGAAGCTTGTAGCTCATGTCTTTTAAACAAAGCATAATCTACGGATATTCAATATCTTCGATATCGATGGCTTGCTCTTGCATTTTAACTTTTCTCGGAAAGCTATTCGCGACATCCGTCTCCCTGAGTTGCGTGTAAGAAGTTCAAAAAGTAGCCGAGATTCTTTTCCTAGTTTCACTAACTGTCCTCGACTTTGAAATTCGACGAGATTACGGCGAGAAAAAGGATATCAAATATCTCGAGTCTTTTTCTGTTTTCTATCCTTGCGAACAAACGAGACAGCAATTTCGTAATCACGAAATTTATTGTCGCCGGTTTACGTTATACGTGCGACATTAAGACTTTCCTTATATATTGCAGATTGTTTTCGCGGAAATATCGGAAAGGCTATCTTTCTGTGGAATATCCTATTATATTTATATTAATCCTTCTATATATATATATAGTAAGGTGGGTTAGATTCGTATATTTTACAACGTTCATGCGCTATTTAATAAAGGAAGACGTTTCATGATATACGCGCGCGCGCGTGTGTGTGTATTGTAAAGAGCGTCCATAGCTTTATACCTAGAATGAGCATATCCTCTTATGCGCTGTCATATACATATTTCGATAAAATCAATATTTGCTCAATAATGTTATTTTTCTTAATAAATAACTTACAATAAAACCAGTTACAAAAGTTCAATCTGTTCCAATGATCTTGAGGTAATAAATTTTGCACTTTTTGAATGTGGTAGGGATAGCGATTATCTCCTTTTACAGTTCGCCAAATTGTTTGTGGTGACACTCCCAATACAGCCGACGCATTCCGAACGCTGGTCTCAGGATGATTGTCAAAATGTTGTAAAATACGATTCCCTGCCTGCAAATCTCTTCGTAACGCTGCTTGAAATCGGTTGTTTTCTTGTCGAATTGAAAATGTTCCAGTCTCTCGCAATCTATTAAATGTCAACATAAACACTCTTCGGTTTGGCACTCTTCTGTTTGGAAATCGTCGTGCATATTCTCGCACCGCCTTTAAAGCATTACCGTTGCAGAAACCGTATACAAAAACCATATCAGCATATTCACTATTAGAATACGTACGCGGCATATTGCAAAAGACAAAATTCATCTACTGTTAAAGGCTTTCAAAGAGCGACTGACAAATTCATAACAGAAAGTGGAAAATGTAATCAAATATGTCGGTGCTAGATATGGCAAGAAATGTAAACATTTTTTTTCGATTTCTCTGAAACGGAGCAAAAACGAGCATATGTCTATAGGACTTTTTTTCTTAGTTTTTTACTCCTCTACACGCTCCCGAAGTTTTGCCATTTAATTTGGAAACACCCTGTATATTATTTAAAATAAAGTACTCGAAAAAGGAGTTATAGGAGTCAGTGCCGTAAGAAATGCGCTGTTTGATTAAATAATATAATATTTAATAATAAATCATTCAATTACATAACTTGCAAAATTAAACTCAAATGTCTCTGCTCTATATATATTATTTGCTTTTTTTTATCCATTTTATACATTGATTAAACAAAAATTGAACAAAACAGCATCGGGTCAGATTCAGTCCTACCTTTCTAGATATTTTGAAAATTCACGTTATCATAAGAAGACTAATTATTTTGACTGAAAGGCAGTTCTTCTTTTTTTGTTATTTAAATAGGGAAACAGACGCTGTAAAAAGAATTTACATATATTAACCTAATGAGAGAGTAAAGTCGATTTCATCTACGACGTAACAAACACCGTGCATTTTTATCGTGCACCATTTCTCCGATCGTACTCAAATCGCCAACGGCCTACTTAGAACCCACCCAGCCAGGCAATTTATTTTCATTTCTCCTAACGATTCTCGACTTTGCCCGCGCCCCACTTTCAACATAGACGACGAATAATTCGAGATCCCTTCGAGAACGACGCGATTCACTTGGCGCGATCGATCGCGTTAACGTTACTGCTCCCGAGGAACCTTGTAACGCGATTACGAGTGAGCTGGAAAACGCGTATAATGGCTTCCGCTGTCTCGGACGATGCGACATCGCCGACGTCGATTCGACAAAGGGAATGTAAGCACCGGGTTCTAACAGTGAAAGATTTTTTATTCGAGCGAACGATGTGTAGGCAACCGTCGCAACGTGTTCGAAAACTCCCTCTCACTTCTGCTCACTTCCTCGCTACTGCAGCATATGTTTTATAAGTTTGGAAAAAAATCCGGATGTTAAACTTTTTAATAAATATTTCATCGAGTTTTGTTTTAGCAACTTTGCACTCTGCTCCGCATGTAAAGTTTCATGACCCAAAAATTAGGATTACGTAATACATTATACATTATATCTAGAAGCTTGCGAGATCAACAGAATTATGCATTATACATTACGTCTTGAGGTACTCTTACAAAATTGGTACATAATTTTTATTAATTTATGACATACGTCATAATTTTGTCATTATTTTTTTCCATCTAAAATCTAATATCCATTTTACAGTAGGTAAATTTTTTTACGTCAGAATGCAGAAAATTAAATACGTTAATTATATTTTTATTAACAAGACTAGAAATAAATTTTATATTAAATATAAAACGAACGTTATTTTAATTGTAATTTAAAACTAAATTGTAATAATATTCATTTAAAAAGATCTTAAATTATCAAACAAAATATCTAGCAGACTTTTCATGCTAAGATAAACACAGCGTATTTTTTAGCGCGTATTTTTTTTTAATTATAAACGAATGTTAGTTTAATTGTAATTTAAAGTTAAATTTTAGGGATATTTATTTTTAAAAAATCTTAAATATATATATATATAAGAAAATAACATCTAGCAGAATCTCTATATTAAAGAAAACGTACTATTTTTAGCATTAATAGTATATTTTTTTTCTCTTTTCTTCGATCCCTTTCCTTGTCCTTTCTGCGGATTTGCCGTTATACCGCGATTGCGGCACAACAGCTCGTAATACGTAAATTTCCACGGATGTATACGCACCGCTGCATGATTAAGAGAGACTCGACTTCCACGAGATGTAGTGACAAGGAACGAAATACGAAGGAGATGAGAGGAGATAACGGAGATAGAGAGGACGGCTTGGTACCGTTTGCATACCGCTGCATAATATACGTAACTGCGTTACGCGGCGTACAATGCGCGCATTAGGGAAGGAATAACGATACGTCGTTTCGCCAGCTTTGCGCTGCTCTGATTTGGCCCTGACGTAATGATGTTCCGCGCCGCTTATTTGTTCCGCCGAAAGCGCTGCGTGACAGAGAGAGAACGTAGCACATTTTCGGCAGACGAACAAATTTACTGTCTGACTGGCATATATACACCAAAAAAATTGGTTGAATTAACCTGAAATACATATATATAATAACCAGACTATTTGTTTTGATTAAAATAACCAGATAAATTTGGTTGCATATATTCTGGTTACGGTAACCCACTATATTTAATTGTATGAATAGTGTTAACAATTTTTTGTTGAAATCCGATTTAATAATAATCGGAAATTCTGCTTTGTTCTACTTTTTCGATGTATATTTTTTATTTTTCATGAATGCAGTCAATAAAATATGCCAATAGAAATTTTGTCTAAAACTTTGGCGAATATCCTATATTTTTCATTCTATGATTGACTTCATGACATCTTCATTACATAATCGAATTACCTGAATCCCATTATAGCTCATCGATGCGACAGTGACTCGAAGTCTGTATGCATACGATCGTAATTAACGATCGTAGTCGGCGTATGTACGTGGAAGCTTTGTTGTTTGTCAATGACAAATTCGGAGCTCACTTGATTGAATGTAACACAGCGCATACAACCTATTCGCGGTATATAACGGTAGTCTTATGAGATATTAAGCCATAATCTGGTCATTCCGTACCGCGTAATAGAATTGGTAGGGTGATGGTGAAAACAACAAAAATCGTTGTGTAACAACGCCCGGTCGAGAAGCCGATATACCGGTGGGTCCCGCGAGGCAAGCATATATTCGCTCGTGCATGAAATCTGTTTGCCGGCTTTATCGCTCGCGTAGTTTCATGGCGCAACCATTTGAAAAATGAAAAAGAGCTCGACGGCGTACCGAATAACTCTTTACCCCACGACAATTCTTATTGCCTCGTGTGGTTGCGCGTTTTTTTTTATCGTGCAACACCCGACAATTTATTAGTACGCGATGATTTTCGGTAAAGCGAGATCTTATTATCCTGTCTTTTTAAACCTGTTTTAATTCTGCTATTGTACTTGCAAATAATAATATTGTATGTGCCTATCTAATATATCCTAGATTTTTTGCAAAAAAATTTTATTACTCACCCTCGGCGACTTGCGTTTATTGGCGCTCTCGACGCAGGGAAAGCCACCGCACTGAAACACATAAAATTTACTGTGTAATTTCGTTTGTCCTTCGTTTGTCTTTTTCTAATTACGTCTAATAATATAAAGGAACTCTCTAAATTCTTTGGTGTGAATCTCACTCCAAAGAATTTAGAGAGAAAGAAGATGATTATTGGTGGGATTGTAGAATACCACGATATCCTATATAGTTTGCATTCTGGGGACAAACGTCAAAATTACTTCTTCACAGTCTGCTTAGACGTTAACATGATCACTGATCGTTGTAGTATTTACTGTATTGTGTTGTGAAAACTGCATTTCAATGTTGCATGTAGTGAACAGTTTTACAGTTGTATACTTTTTAAATAATTTTGAGAAGTATGCTAATATTAATTTTGTCTATAACGTATGCACTTAGTAAAAAATAAACTAAATTTAGGTTAAATTTAATATATTTTCTTGAATTAAATTGCTTATATTATTCCAATGTTTTAGTTAAATTAAGAACATATTGAGTAGGAGCAGTGATAACCTATAAAAATTATTAAAGACAATTCAAATTGAATATAATTTTACGTTACGAATTTAACAGTGCAGTAAGTAAAATATATATCTTCGACAGCAATATTTCATTAAAATTGCTGTTAGCAATTTAAAGAGCCAAGAAAGATCGATTGATTTGGAAAGATTTTTACGTGTAATATTGACCGTAACTGGAAAAGTATTTTTATGCACAAGATACCAGAACCAGAGATAGGTGACATAGATTGGCTTTATGGTAGAATAAATTGTAGATGGCACACAGTATAAATTGCATTCGAAGCGATAGCAGTTTTCACTGCCTTTACTGTAAACGCTGCGACTTCGTAGGGGTGACTGATCCACACAGTCATTTGGGTTTCGCGATGCACGTACCCGAGCTTTATATACCTACTGCCGCCATTCGTGTACATCTATACATCGTACACATACCTATACTCATGCTTTTTGCTATAGTCTAGCCAATATATAATTGAGAAGAGTCGAAGCAAATCAAACGTAAGGAGAAAAATATTAAGAATAGGAAGAACGATAACTTAGATTCATATAGATGGGTGGAAAAGAAACTCATTCTTCTTATCGTTTTTATCCAACAAGAACCATACGCGCTGCGAATGTCATCAGAAAAATGTATTAACTTTACATTATGGAATTGTGCACTGTTAGATGTCAAAGGAGTAATGGTAACCCAGTCCGTAAGTTAAATAACATTTTTGTTATTTTTAACTTTCATGTGTGTCAAAATGTAAATCAATCTATGTCTTTAGTTAATTTTAAAGTAAACATCTATATTAACGTATGTGTACTTAATACATAATAAACTGAATTTGAGTCAAATTTAATACATTTTTTCGATTGTTTTAATTAAATTAACGACATATTGAATAGCATATTGAAGGAGCAATGGCAACCTACAGAATTATTAAAAATAATTCAAAATTGAGTATAATTTGATATCATGAATTTATAACATATTCGCATCGAGAAAAAAATTTAATGTATAGGAATTTATATTAAAATGAATTAAATTAATAGTGTATTTGTGGCTCCAAGAGTAAATCTAGTACAAGTAAAATGCCTGTGTGAGTCTGCGATTGTTAGTGCATAAATTATTATATTCATCAATTATATAATTCGTACAAACAATTTGAATGTACTTACCAAATGAAGTTAACTGCAAACGTTTCGACTCCGAATTTGAGTCCTCTTTAGTGCGATAATTAGTGAGGTCGAGTACAAACTGGGGTTTGCAAATTATATCTTATCTTATGAATATATAATTTAGGCACTAACAACCGCGAAGGCTCATATAGGCATTTTACTTGTACTAGGAATTCATATAGTTACGGAAGTTAAACACATCATGGTTATTAATTAATTCTTATATTACATTACAAATGTAATATTGTACGTGCATTTGTGATAACGTTTACATGTGAATGCATTTACAAATCAAGAGAATTCTGAATATTGCAATACAAGACTCGCAGATAATGTAATTCGATTCACGCTAATCCAAACCATAATTTAACATGACAAACAATAATAATTTAACATGACAAACAATGTAGACTTTTTTAATTTATTGCCTGTTCTGACGCACTTATTACACTATAAACACAATAATAATAATTATATGCAAGCGAATGAAAATGAATCTCCTAATAAAATTTTTAGAAGATTGTTAAAAAACGCATCGAGATATAAGTAGATGATAAATTGAGAAATATCTTTGCTATTATATGAGAAATATTTTACGAGTTCTTTCCAGGAAGAATAATTCCGATCATTTTATCTAGAAAATTCCATTATTGTGTGAATCATATTTTCTGCGAAACACGTTTATACGCCATTATAATCGCAAAGAAATGCTCTAAATGTCGTCTGTACAAAATGGTCCCACAGAACTCGCCGGTGTGGCAATAATTCGGTGCGTCCCTCATCCGGCTCGTCTGTTTATTACAGCATACGGTTTGACGATGGTAGGAAACCGCGCGGGTTTTTCAGCCCCCTCGTTACGCGGGCGGCCGAAACGAGCCGTCATTTCGAAACGCGAGAAGCTCGCGCAACCATACAGCCGCGATATATACCACGATACCGCAAATGCGGTTTATTATTTTATCGCGACGGGCATAAAAGTGACGAGCGCTCGTACGCGATTTCTGGGTCTCGCGTGCGTGCGACGAGCACGATACGCGGACAACCAGTGAAACGATGCGAAAATATCGTCGACTGACGATCTTTTTTTTTTACATTGGAACTTAATTCTTAACTCTTAACTGTCTAACTGCGGACGTCGTGTGTGCAGGAGGAAGCGAGGTATTTACAGTAAAAACAAGTAGAGTGATTAATCGATTAAGGCTTCTTGCTGTTAGCTTGTTACATCGTTATTTCTGCTACTCCATACAGAAATAATAAATGAGAGCGGTATTTTGTAATTATAGTGCATTTTTATTCTGCATGTCAATAATTTTGAAAAAGTTGTTTTTATATTGTAGTTAAAAAAAACGACCAAACGTTTGTATACACACATGCCAAATATTACATTATGTAAATATTTTCCGTAAAAATTTTCGACAACTTAATTCTCTCAAGCGCTAAATTAATCGATTTTTATATAAAAAACGCAAATGCGTATATCTCTGTTTAAAAGTGTATTTCGATACGAAAACAGTTAATCGATAAAAATGCTTCCTTTCTTGTCTTAAATTTCAGAGCAGCTTCAAAAAAACAAAACATTCTATAATATTTTTATACATGACTTTTTTTACATAAAACAATTGTGTTGAAAACAAGCTTATGTAAATTTATATGAAATTTACTTCGATATGCATTGTTCTGGCAAAATGCAATTTTCCTGTCAAAAATATGACCTGAGAAACTCGGAACATGTCGGGATGGTGGACGAGTTACATGAGGAAAGGACGTGAAGGAAGGACGCTTGGTTTTGTCGATGATTTGCCGAGTGGTCGCGACGCGGAAGAATGGAATTGCTTTCCGCTTCCGGCAAAATTCCCGCCATATTCCCAGGATATGTTACTTCCGATTATATATATACATATATATATACCACGTTTCTATATAGTTCCATCAAATACATATTTTAAAGTAATTTTTTTAATAATTAAATCTAAAATACGAGAGAATTTATATAAAATAAATCGAGATGACTGACATTAATCAGAATTAATTAGTAAATTAAATACCTCGGAGATGTTTAAATTTTTATGAATGAAAAAGTAACCATAGTTCTCTTTAACAAAAAAACAGCATCACGTTACTCGTTCACACTACTCGTTTAAATTTACATTTAATTGTATCACACGAAAAATCTCGAATATACAGCGAACACGCATAAAAGTTTCAAAGGCTGACAATTCGATCCTTTACCGACATCGTACCAGTCCTCTATCCGCGAAAGATTCACGGTCGAAAAGGGTGGACAGCATTTTATCCTGTTCGTGTGATCCACCCATCGCGATGATTAAGTCGTCCCCGGAGTTTTATTCTCGAAGGATGGAAAAAAGTTTTACAACGAAGACTTGAACTCCCTCTTTCCGTCTAGGATAGAAGCGTGGTTTTATCTTCGATCACGTTTCGCGCCGCGATGCGGTCTCGTTTGCGCAAAGTCGAGCAGGATAATCGATACGTCTTCGTCCGTTCTCGCCACCTAAAGCCGTCGCGGGATGTTATTTCTCGTCACTCTCTTTGCCCTTCGTTACACGATCTTTTATTATTATGCGCGTCCAAGGCTAAGAACGATTTACGCGACACCATTTTTCTCTCATCAAGCGAATATCGATTCAAGGATAATAAAGAAAGCTAACAATGCATTTAAACGGCTCCATCTTATTTCGCAAAGACGCAAAATTTTTCTTTACCTGAAACAAAAGATCGATTTACTAATTCTAGAATGTAGAAATTAAAATTATTTAACTATATTTCAAATCTTTTGATGTTAAATAAATTATATTTAAAGCACAAATATAAGTAACCTGAAAGTATACATATTATATATAACCTATAATAGAAATACAATCTAAATAAAAGCATTCACGTTATTTTAAAATTTTCGCGTCAAGAAGCAATACCGTAACCTAGCATCATAATCTGAACATAGAAATGTTCGACATTATGACACTTTAAAATGCACTTAATATATGAAATATTCGCGCAAAATTAATGACCAACTATAAATATCGAATTGTATAGACGAGATTATGTCGTTCGCTCGAATCGATTTCCGATCAACACTCCGCTGTACGTTCAATCGCTGACATTTCCCTCAGCGAAAACGTCTAACAGACGAGGACATTGACATTGCATTTCAAGTTTCGAGCACAAAGGCTGTCACTGCTACTTCGTGCAGCGATTCGTTTTTAAGTGAATATATCGATCGGCTCGCGCAATTCTCTGCGTCCTGAATAATAACATCCTGAATAATAATGTAAATGTCACAAATGCAAATTGCCGACGCCATAAATGCAGCC